GTGGTTGTACTGTCACTAACTGTACCAACCCGCACAACATTAATGTTAACAGCTGTTATTTCATTCCTCAGCTTCAGCAGCTCCTTTAATTCCACAGCTGACCTGCTAAAAATGACAGGTTTTCTTTTCTGGATCTCTGAGAGCAGAACTTCAATCTGTGAACTCATAAAGTTCTTTTTTACTTTGTGATGTCATTTATGAATGAACACTTCCTGGTATGTGGGACAGGAAACGTAGCCTTATATGGTGTTTTTAGGGTGGTAATTATGCTAATGTCCTCTCCTCGAGCAGCTGATACACATTCATCAGTTTACACAGCTCATTTACACAGTTTTCCTGAAGATAGAAGAGTTTGTTGAATCTGACATGACATGTTGGTACGAACCCTTCATATGAGCAAAGGTACAGTAAGAGAAATTTAGGATAAAATACAAACATGTTCTTGCATGAGGAACAATGTGTTTTATTCAGGAGTTTGTCTTCGTTGCTCTAATTAAAGGTCTGAGCATTCACTGAAAGCTCCTGTGGTTTTCTGTGTGTCTGCAGCTGAAGGAGATGAGGAATCGTGTCGCTGACATGGAGACTCACTCTCGATCATCAACAGGAGTCTCCCAGCTGGAAACTAAGATCCAGGAGCTGGAGGAACGTCTGAGGATGGAGGAAAGGTACGTTATGGTGTGACCAGAAAACATCTCATCTCAACGTCTGGGCTCATGTTTCCTCCTGACTGTCAGAGAGAAGAACTCGGTGCTGGCCTCACAGCGTCGTCTGGAGAGGAAACTGAAGGAACTGAACATGACGCTGGACGAGGAGAGGCATGCACACACTGAACAGAGAGACCAGGTCTGTTTGTGAACACTAACAACACAATGTTAGAGGAGACACAGTCCTGACCTGTGTGTGTGTGTGTGTCTGCAGCTGACTCTCAGGGTGAAGGCTCTGAAGAGGCAGGTGGACGAGAGCGAGACAGAGCTGGAGAGGATCGAGGCTCTCAGGAGGAAGGCCCAGAGAGACATGGAGGAACAGGTGGAGCTCAGAGAAGCCCTGCAGTCCAGAGTCAGCGCTCTGGAGACCGAGCTCAAGTAAGTCTTGTTTTTTTATTTTATTTTAAATTACACACGGGGAGATTTCAGGAACTGTTGTGTAATGGTGCGTTCACACCGAACGCGATTTTCAGCATCAGGAGCAGCAGGTTTACATACAAAGTCTATGGTGGACGCACTTCAATCAGCGTCAGGAAGTGCTGCGGCGCCTCAAGCGCGATTAGAGCAGCACGATTTGAACGATTTGAACGATCTGAGCGCTCGACGTGCTGAGGCTCAAATCGCTGAAGTTAGAAAATCTGAACTTTTGCAGCTCGACGCGCCGCATCAACCAATCAGAGAGACTCCACTGTGTGACGTAGCGACATATTTCC